GCCGGGCCGCCCCCTGAGGGGTGACCGGCGCTCCCGCCGCCCGGCCTCGCCCCGTCTCCGTGTCAGAGGTGACTCTGCCTCCGGCCCGGCGCCTCCGAACCACCCTGTGTCCTCGGCCCCTCCGGTTCCCACCCCCGGGACCCCGGCCCGGTGCTCCCCGGGCACACTCAGGCCGCGGGCGGGGCTTCCAGCCCCGGTGCGGGTGGTGAGGGAAAAGGCAGCGAGCCACGCTCTATTTCTGTAAGAAAATTGATTTAATTTTTAATCAAGCTTAATTAGGTTTCCTCTGATTTCTGTCTGGCAGTGGCAGCTAAAGAGGAATTCCTCATCCTCGCTCAGGTTACAGCTGTAACTCTTCCTTGCCTAATTTAGTGGCAATTTTGCCTTTTTTGCTCCTTTTAATCTTGATGTTTTTATTCCTTTGCCGCCTCCTGGAGCGGCATCTCGGCTCACCTGTGGAGCGTGGTGGGTGTAGGAGGTGATTTGCCGCTATATTCAGTGTCAGCTGTTTTGGCTGCAAGTGGTTCAGGCTGTAATGGTGATGATGGAGTGGGGAAAGAAAAAAAAATAATTAATAAACTAGCGTTTTTCTCCGAAGAGTTTTTAGTTAAGGGGGAAATCGCACGAAGAACCTGCAAGATAACATCTCTTTCCCATAGTTTGTGTGGAGATTGATAGGAAGGGCAGACGTGCGCATACATACGCTGGTTAATGAGGCTGTAATTACTTTGAAAATTAACGTCGGGGTAACGATTTCTCCAGTGGGGAGCGTGGGATGTGGGTGTCCCACCTGGGGCTCCTCGGCGCGGTGTCGTTCCACCCCGCTATCTCCATCTTCCAGCCGGTTTTCTGCAAGGGCAAAGTGCAGCGATGCCGTTGAGATACGTTTTGCCTCAAAGGGCGTCTGAATGTCAGTCCCAGGAAGGCTGCAGGTTGGTGGACGATGGGATTAAAACTTCCACGATGTGTCCCAGTCCCCTCTCTTGAGGTGTTAGAGCGCAGTTTATTCCGTGCAAGACCCCACTCGCTTTCCCAAACGCTTCACCTCTGCTCCCACAATAGTCGTGGAAATAGTTACTGGGAGCTCAGCAAAAAATTAAAACCTGTTTTTTTTGTGTAAGACGAGCAAAAGCTGTTGCTTTTGTGGGGCCGTCTCGTTGCTGGGGCGATCTTAAGGTCTGATTTCTTTGATATTTGCTGCAAGACTCACGGATTATTGGGGGTGTTGCTCCGTGTTGATGTCGGGTAACGAGAATCGCTTTGACCGTGAGCACCACGATAACAATGAAATCGTCTCTAATTGCTTTTTGCTCTTTTCTAGGTTATGGAGACTGGAACTCTGGGACGAACAGAGGCAAGTATGGTAGAATCTAGAGTAATTTTCTGGCAGGTTGGTTTATTCCCATCCCCTTCAGATCCATTTCCTGAGCCTGAGGGAGTTGTGCTGAGGTCGATGACGAACAACGGCGGCACCAGACCCCGTGCAGCCTCTCACTGCTCCGCCTGTGCAACAGTTTTCTTTTTTATTTTAAAAATTCATCTTGAAGCCAATGGAAAACTTTGTTGCTGAAACTGATTGCACGGGAAAACTGTTCTAGGCAGGATGTTTAGTTTTTGGGGGTTGTTTTACCCCCAGAAATACCCTTTCTGCTACTTGGAACACTTGTCTGAAGTCAGGCAATGATGTAAATCGAGGCTTGAGAAGGCAGCAGAAATACAAATTCCATCTCTGCATGTGCCAGCAGCCAAATAAAAGGGCTGGGGAAGGAAAAACCCAAATTTTAAGCCTCAGTGGACTTTCAATTGGCTTCGTGTGTTATTCCTGTGGTGGGTTTTTTTCCCTGTTTGTAACAGTTTTGGCTTCTTTAATGAGAGGAGAAGCTCTTCTGTCGCTCTCTGATACAAACCACATGGGAAATACTGGGCTGAAGGTGGTTTTGCTTTCTGGGCTTGGCTGTCCTGTCTTTGAAGAGGATGAGAACACGCTCTAGTGTCCTCCCTTTGCTTTTAAGGGGTTCTGAAGCAGCTTACATAGGTCTTGGTGAAAGTGTGGCCTAGCTGCGTTCATCTGTCTTTGTATTCAGCAAAGAAAAAAAAAGCTTAAAATGGTTCTTTGGTATCTCTGGGTTAACCCAAAAGGGGTTTTTATGGAGGCTCTGCCTTGGTTATTCCTCTCCAGTGCGGGTTGGATGGAGGAAGCTCTAGGCTGTGGCTGTTTTGTGGGACATACATGAGGAAATTGTTCCCTTAAATCTTTGTGAGCTCAATAGGTTAGAGTTTATAGGTGACTTAAATAGAAATTTTGAGCGCTTTTTTTTTTTAAATTTTAACTCCCTGTGGCGATTGCTTGGGACATCTTAATTCAAAATAAAAGTCACATCACTGGAAATAACCCAGCTCTTTTCTTTTTGTTGTTCCAGGTTACGAGGGGTACGGTTATGGCTACGGCTACGGCCAGGATAACTCGGGGAATTATGGCTACGGGATGGCCACCTCGAACTCCTGGGAAATGGCCAATTCGGACGTTGACATGAACCCCGACGGTTCGGGCGGCGGCAACGCCGACGCCGTCATCGCCAAAATGAACCAGCGCTTGGACATGGTGTCACACATGGATACAGACACGATGCAGGGGGGACACTACGGGTCTGGCGGAGACAGGTGAGTGCAGGGCAGAGGTGAGGGGACGTCGTTAACGATCTGCTGCTCGTTAAGGGTCGTGGCTGCTCGGTTTGGTCCTCGCTGGTCTCGTTCTTGCCTTTTCCAGTGTCGTGACTCAAGTGAGCATCCAGAGCTGGATCCATCAGCCATCCTCCTCTCACCTGCTCTAACTGTAAAATAGGATTTTACACCAAGTTTTCATCTGTGTCTTGCAAAAAATTAAAAAAAAAAAAAAAAAATAAAAAAATCCAAATTTGGGGCTTTTAGTGTGGTATTTTCAGCAGTGGCTAAAAATTTAGAGTTCTTCAGTAAAATTATTATAAAGAATCCTTTTTATTCCTCATTCTCATGAACTTATGTACTTGTAGAGCAGTGTTAAGGAAAGCGAGGTACTATTTCTTACTTAATTTGAGTTTAAATTACTACTTTCGATTAATAGATTGACTTCTGCTGCTGCAGGGAGGTTTTTGTAGCCAGTGTCACAGTAGATGTTCAGCTCTATGATGCAGTCAACTCCTTCCTGATCTTTATTAATGTTTAAGTACTAATAAACAGGATTCTTTCCCCAAATATTTCTTATTTATTAAGAGGCAGTGTGAGTTTTGAGCTAGAACTTGGCATTTCTCCAGGGTGGCTACTTATTCCATCTTTTTAATGCTTTAAAGAAGTAAAAGTAGGTCGGACAAAGTAAAATGCAGGAGTAAATATTAATCAATGGGATGTGACTGTTTTCTACTCCGCTCCTACGCTTCCAAGCCAGTAACTCTCCTATGAAATAAGCCCGTATTGCTGTATCAAATGGATTTGGTTTGGTTGCTCCCTCAGTTTAACCGTGCTGGAGGGGGGTTGCTGAATTGTTCCCCCAATTCTTGTCCCTTCAAACGTCGCTTTGGGCTTCTCCACTTTGATCTCATGCACCGGCGGTCGGCTCCTCGCGGACACGCTCCTGCCTGCGGCGGGTTTCCACCCCTGCGGTGCTGCCGCACCGGTTGGGAATGAGACAAGCTTTATTGAAAAGCTTAAAAATTTCCTGCTCTATGCAGGAAATAACGAGAAACGGACTAAGAGGAAGATAAATCACTTGGAGAACGTTGACTCCGGGCCACAGCAGAGCAGAAAAGCAGCCGCTCACCCTCCAGCTGCTCCAGCTTATGCGTAACCGGACACTGGCAGCTCCTCCATCGGTGCCTGACCTGATTTTGTAGCCCCACCATCTCCCCTTGTGTCAGCGGGGTGACTTTCTTCTGACCTTGGGGCCACGATAACATCTTTTCCCCCTTGCTGCTGCTTCTCTCCGGGCTCTCAAGGCCTCGCTGTGAAGCACAGCAGCGAGGGGGTTGCGCTTTGAGGCTCGTTAGTTCGGCATCGTGAGGTTTTTCTTGCACTCTCGGTTTCCTCCTCACCTGCCTTGTCAGTCAAAGCCCTGCCAACGAGCATGCAAAGCCTTAAATTCCACTACAAAACATTTTAGGATTGTGGAATATAAAGCTAAAATTCCTTTTCCTAAAAAGGAAAAAATGGATTTAAAACAGGTGAAGCGTATGTTGGCTTTCCACTGGGGAAAAAAGTTTGTTAATGGATGGGGAATGAGGAAGGACGGGGCTGGAATAGATCTTTCGTTGTGCCACGGTGTCCCTTGAGTAACTGAGGAGTAAATCTGGCTGTTCCCGGAAGTATTTCTGGGTAAGGTGGAACTTGCTATGAGGACGAGCATCTTGGTTCACTTCAGCTGCTCCTGAAGCTCATTTTGAAACGGATATTTGGGAGCGGGGACAAACTGATCACCTCCAGCCTCAGCAGGTGAAAGAACCTTTGCTCAGTGTAGTTATTTTTTTAAATTCTTTTAAAATATTCCGGTAATTCTGGAAGAAATTCCAGGGGTTCTATGGGTTTTCCCTTGCCTAAAGGTCTCTGGTTGCTCCCCCACTTGAACTGAAACCTCGATGCTTTGTCATCAGTTCTTCTGGTCCATGTCCTGTCCCGCTCGCTCCCACGCCGAGCGCCGATTAAAAAGCCAAAAAAGAAATCAATTTTGAGTTTTATTTCTTTAACCTCAGCCGCATCTCGCTGACGTGTCTCTTGCAGGTACGACTCATACGAATCCTACGACTCGAGGTCCTCGATGAACGACCGCGACATGTACCGCTCCGGCTACGACTACAACGAGTCCGAACACGACAACGACAACACCTACGAGGGCCACTACGACAATTTCTACGGCAACCGCCGGGATCAATATCAGAACAGAGCCCGGGATAACTTTGGTCAACGGGGCCAAAACTGGGGTAGAGACGGACGCAATAACAGACCCATGGCGTCTTCCTACCCCGGGCGCATGGGCGGACAGTGGAACGAGCCTCCGCAATCGATGGGCTCGCGAGGTCTCGGTCCCCACGGTTCCTCCAGGCTTCCTTCCCTCTTCTCCCACAACATTATCCCAGAACTCAGCATGTTCCAGGGAATGCGAGGTTTCTCGGGAAACATGCGTTACGGAGGAGGAATGATGAAACAGCGAATGAGGAGAAACTGGAAAATGTGGGACTCGGATTTTAAAGTAAGTATTTGTGCTGTAACTTCCCACCCGCTCGGCTCGGATTGAGATTTATTTCCCAACAGACCCACATGTCCTGCAGCAAAGGGCTCCCAGTACACT